TTTCCGGTTTTGCGACTTACAATTATCGTCAACTATTTTGGTGTTAGTAATTGATGAAGAGGTGCGGCTTTACCGCACCTGGCGCTCAACTTAGCGTTCGCGTATCGAAGTCGCAGACCGGGGACCGCAGTAATTTGCCGACGCGGCGGACAGGCGACTGTCATTAAGAAAAGTCGTCGCTCCGTATAGCACAAATCTTTAAAAGACTTCTTAAAGAATTCCAAAAGTGTTCTGGTGGACTTGGGAACTCTTTTGGAACACTTATAGAAGTCTTTTAGAGATTTGTGCTATATGAGTAGCGGCCCTATTATACTACGACTGCTTGAAATTTGAAATGGGACAGAAGGTAGAGAGTTTATATACATTGTAGGTTCGAAAGAATGAGACAAGTAGTACTAACTCAATATACATTCTGTCAAATAAATACTGGGAATTGTTCAATAAAATACAAAATATTGATTTAATCATCCAAATTTATTTTGTCGTCTTCAAAATAGGCGATCAAAACACATTTGATGCGATACACTTATACCAACTGGAATAATCCAGTCGTCGAAACACTTCTTATAAACACTTTCCGGTATGGCTTGCAGCTCCTTTTGCGAATTTTGTTTTATAGCTTCAATGGACTCAAAACGTCTTCCACAAAGTGGTAATGAGTTTGAGGAACAGAAAAAAGTCACATGGGGCCATATCTATCGAATACGGTACTTGGTCGATGACATTCGTTGAATTTTTGGTCAAAAATTCGCGTACAAGGGTTGATGTGTGGGACGACGCATTTTCGTGGTGCAAAATTCAAGAATTGTTCTTCCACAAATTTGATCTTTTTCGGCGAACATTCTCTGTCAAATGCTTCATAATGGTAAGATAATACTGTTTGCCCCTCCTGAAGCCCGATGGACTTTTGAAATGAACAATTCCCGGTATTTATTTGACAGAATGTATATCGAACTTTGCAGAGGTAAACACGCGTTTGTTCAGAGTGATTCGAAACTTTTCGCAATTATCGGCTTGTGCGCATTGACAGAGCGTAAATGCTTGAATGTGTTCAAATCCTGTTAAACTTCCTTCTGGATGTGAACAAAGAAAGGGTAATATAAGCAGAAAAATAATTACTGGATCGTGTCATCTGTGCTATAGACAAACTATAAAAAACGGAGAAAAATACGAAAATCTTATTTGCAATGCCAAAAATGTGCATATGATGAGTATGCTGCAACTACCCAGAAAGCAATTTGTACGCAAACTGACGTCAGATTGGCAACACGACTTGTCGAATTCGAGCAGGATCTGTCGACAGATCTATAGTCATCTGCGTCCCCAATCTGCCGTCAGACTGCTGACAGGGTTTGCTAACAGACTCTGACATCAGATTGGCAGTAGTTTGCGTGCAAAGCTTGCAGACAGACTCTTACGGCAGATTGCGCGTAGATCCTGTCGTTTCGCAGGTTCTTCAATTAAATTTTTTGTAGAAAATTTTCTCATAATTTTTCATAATTACTCATAGAATCAGCGCTTTCTCATAAATACTCATAAATACTCGTAAAATACAATAAAAAAAAAAAGTTTTTCTATATTATTTTTTCTTAATTTTTAAGATTTTCTCTGGTGAAATTCGAACTTGAACCGAAGACGTCTTTTGGATAATCATCCGTCGCCTTAGACACTACGCCGATTCCTCACTTGATAAAAAGTGCTTTGTATTGCACACTTAAAGTTTAAGGAAGAAAAATCTTAGAGTTTGTTCGCCTTTTAAACCGCAAAATATAAACGAAACCGTTTAGCGTATAAATAATATAAGAGAGACCAGCACGATAATTCGAAATTAATTTTCTACCAAGGACTATATAGAAAATTATTACAATAAAACAGCAGATAATGACATTTTTCCATCAATGCTAATAAAATACTGTGCTTTTAAGTACATGTGCGAATTAATTTGGTCGATCGTCCAGTTCAGACTGTATTAAATTTTATCAAAATCAAAGCATGATATATTTTCAAATAAACCATCATAAAAATTCTGTAAAAGTTATTTACATGGCGAGACTAATATTTTATTTAGTGCTGCTGTCTTCAGTACTTATTATTACATGACGGTTCAATCGTTCAGATTTAATGACATAATGACATTAAAAAAATAATAATATGAGAAATTGTATGAAAAATTATGACAACAATTTTTACCAGGGATGGCATATGTACGCCTTTAAATGGTCATTAAACCGTTATACTATTCTATACTTGTAGTCGTTATTTTTCTATTATTGTTGCTTTTTTATAAGAAACAACGTGTAATACAATTTTAAAAAGTAAAAATTATTTTTTATTGTGTATATGTATATAATTATTGCACAATATAATTATCTTGACTCCTCTCGGAGTTTTACATAGTGTGTATTGTGACCGTTCTTAGTAAGTTATACGCGAGAATACGGCCCAACTTCGTCTCCGCCGTTGCGGCGACGGCCGAGCTTGTCGGCAGCTCTCACACCAAAAAAAATATCCGACTCGGTAGAGCGGCGGAGTTCGTGCGTAGACGCGCGACCTTCCTTCGTGCGACACGGGAAGAACAGGCGACAGAATCGGAGGAATCAGGAACAATCACACATGCCGATTAATATCAACGCTGTATTTAACAACAAAACAACAAAAGAAAGATTCTACAAAAGACGCGGTGCGGGCTCCGAGTCGCGTAGTCGCGAAGCCATTCGGCAGCCGGATCCGTAGTCGAGGATCCGTCTGCCCCGCGGAGTTCGGACGGCACGAGGCTCGCGAAATTCTATCGTCGCACGTTAATTACGTAGTTGGGCGCCAGCCGGGTACATCCCGGCCCTAATTATCGCGTCGCGAACCGCGTATCTACCGGCTCTCGGAAACCCGCACACCCGAATCGTGATCGCGAATAATTACAAGAATCGTGCAGTCGCTCGCCGTCCTGTGCGGTCGCGAACGCGGCGCAACGGCAGCAGGCAACGCGGGAAAGACGGCTACGCTCTCGCGAGCACTCGACTTTTAGCCCGCGGTCGCGAGTTCGGTCGGTTCGTCAAGGGCGGCGATGGACCCTTCCGGCTACCGTCGTGAAGCGACGGCAACCATCCCGATCGTTAGGTACCCGGGCTGAACGACAGGCGGAGGACGGCTCACCAAATCTCTCTCGCTGGGCTCGCTCCCGTTCTCCGTCCGCTCGTTCGCTTGCTCGCTGGCTCGCGTGCTCGCTCGTTCGCTCACTCTTGCGCACCGGAATCGCTGGATTTGCCGCAGCACTCGCGTCGCTCGCTATCCGCACAGTGACGAATTTTCCGCGAGCGCGAGGCTCCTTAGGCTCGCGGTCTTAGCCGCCGATCGCCGCTAGGTCCTATTGGTCCTGCGGAAATGTACGGCTCTAACGCGGGCGCCTTACAGGGCCCGCGCAACACCGCCGAATTCTCTAACTCCTCGTCGACGGGATCCTGTGCCCGACGGCATCCCTAACTGGTGTGGGCGCACAGGTGGCTGCCGAAAGTTCTTGATATCCCAGGGCGTCCCCCGGGATCTGGTCCTTAAGGTCCAGCCCTTCCTGGCGCCCCGCGGCAAGTTAATCGGGGCCCCCGTCGCTTATGTTAGCGAGGGGTGGATCCTGCCCCGTTTGGCTCGTCGATCGCTTCAGGCCCGCCGTCGCTCCATGTCGCTAGAGGCACCCTGTCGCACTCGCCGTAACCCGAGCACACAAATAAAACAAGAAAATTACAAAAATACGCGATCTCGCACGCAAAGGCGTGCGAGACCAAATTCTTCGCCGCCGCCCTTCCCGCGGGAGAAGGGGGCGCGAGCACAGCTCTCCTCGTCTCCCAGTTAATTCGGTGACGGCGAAACCGCCACGTCACAGTATGTGAAACTGCCCCATTTAATAGCGTACATATCCTTGATAGAATTAAATAACCTATTTAGGAAACAGAATCTGCACGCAATCCGCCGTCAAAGTCTGTCGGTAGACTTTACGCGCAGTCTGTCACCAATCTGTCATCAGAACAGATTCTGTGTGCAATCTGTTGCCATTCTGTCTACAGACAATGTTGATAGACTCTGCGCAAAATCTGCTCCCGCAGGTTTGGCTATCTGAGTATTTCAAAGTGTATAGAATGTAATAAATAAATAATTATTACTGTATTTATTTACAAAAACTTTGGCGTGCGCGCGCTTTTACTTATTTCACTAGCCCTTTCATTAATTTATTTAATAACTACATATAAATAATGTATTTCTACTAATGAGCACCCGGGTATTCTGGTTGTGGTCGAGGCGTATGTAAATTTTAATACAATATTTTTTTCAATTCCAGTTTTTAAAAAATTAAAGTAAAAGCATATTTCGATAGTAAAAAGATCAAATCACAACGTTCCAGACGGATTTGACAAAATTTTTAAAGAAACATAAATTTTCCAAGAAACTACTTAAGTGGGCACCCGAGTACCCGGTTGTGGACACAAGGGTTAAAAGGGCTAGCCTGCTACAGACCGCTCGTCGCCGGAGTTCGCTAATTTTGCAAGTCCATTAGTAGACCGATCTGCGAGGGAGGGGATGTGACCGGAACTGCGGCATGGAGGCGTCGCAGGATGCTGCTACGATGCAGGATGTTGCCACGATGCCGGTCAACCTGTCGGCCTTCGACGTCCCGATCCTGTGGCATCTCCGGGACTTGCTGGAGGTGCCACGTGACCGCGAAAGTGACCGCCACGAACCTGACCGCATCCAACTTGGCTATCACCCATCTCCGTTAGACGTCTGCCTCTTGGGCGGTGATGGTCGGATACGTCCCGGGCGGGAGAAGGAGGAGGGAGTCAGGGACCACCTCACGTAGAGATGATCCGAAAGCATCTCTGACTCTCGGTCCACCGCCAATTTCACCATCATATCGGCCGCCCCCGGCAAGGTCCAGGTCAAGTCGATGACCGAGAGCCGCAACGCAGTTTTATAGGTTGATTTTAACCAAACAATGCAATTTATATCATTCATAGTCAGAATTGTTTATGATTTTTATTATATTTTTTTTATACACCATAGTTACATTATTCTTTTTTTTTAATTGACTTCATCCATTCAGATTGCAATTCGCGTAACATTTGAGGTGTTAAGAGTCCTTCTGCTACTAACCTCTCAGTTAATTTACCTTTACCTATGCCACGTTTAGCGATTGCTTGATGACCTTAAAAACATATTATTTAGTAAAAATGTTTAAAAAAATATGTATAAATTTTTCTTTATACCAGATATGCCAAAACAATTATATCATATTTTAATAGTGTATTTCAGAACTTAATTCGAATCGAAAATGCTACTACAAAAATGTTAAAATAATATAAATTTTATAATAATAAACGTTTAAAATTTGTCAATGATATCGCATGAATTTCGTATTTTCACAAAAGAATTATCAGAATTTTTCCTCACCAGTTTTGATAAGCTTTGGACATACAGGTGTCCCATTTTAAAAGATACACTCTCATAATTCTTCAGCCAAGTATATTCAGCAAAAATGTTTCAGACAAAAGTTGTCGGGTTTAGAAGGGGACATCTGAAGGTGACCTTGACTTTGACCTCGGAGCTCATTCTGAAGGTTATTCGAAAGTCAACTTTGCATCTTAAATAGAAACATTAATTTTTTCTTACGGAATTTTATTCTTCGTGAAGAAACTAACAACTTTTGTTTGAACGAATTTTTCGTATGACCTCTATTTTCTAAGATATTTATGGAAATATCTACAAAATTATTGGTTTCAATAATCTTTTACTCGAATTCTATCAACTTTACCGAAAAATGGTAAGAGATAAAAATTGTTTATTTTTTTCTCATAGAGCTCCGGGAATTTTTTCAGAAATTTCCATTTTCTACGGAATTTTTTATAAACTTTTTAGTATTTTAAGAAAATGCAAGAAAATGCAGTACTAAACTTTTTAAATATACTTGATAGAATTCGAGTAAAAAATTATTGAAACCAATAGTTTTGTAGATACTTCCGTAAATATCTTAGAAAATAAAGGTCGTACAAAAAATTCGTTCAAACAAAAGTTGTGAGTTTCTTCATGAAAAATAAAATTCCGTAAAAAAAAAATTAATGTTTCTATTTAAAATACAAAGTTGACTTTCGAATAACCTTCAGAATGAGCTCCGAGGTCAAAGTCAAGGTCACCTTCAGATGTCCCCCTCTAAACTCGACAACTTTTGTCTGAAACATTTTTACTGAATATACTTGGCTGAAGAATTATGAGGGTGTATCTTTTAAAATAAGACACCCTGTATATTGTAGAACAATAAAATATATTAGACTCAGGTTTTCTTTATGTGATTATCTCGATATTTAAGAATTAAAAATCTTTCAAAAGTAACGAAACTTTTTTTATTTTCAAAGAATATCCTCGAAAATATAAAAGAAAAAAATTTATACAAAAGTTTTTTAATATTCTATATTCTTTGCAATGGTATATCCAGATTTTTCGTATAAAAATAAAATTTCTTAATTTATCGCTATCTTTGCCTTATTTTTGCAAATTTAAAACTTTTTAAATATACAAATTAAAAAGCATTGAATGCCAAATCCATCCATATACAAAGTAGCCTATATAACTCTTCACAACTCGATGTTTCAGAAATTAAAAAAAATACAAAAAAGTATTTCCAACAAAAGTGATAAGGTGTCGAGAGAGAAGAAGATAGTAACATTTATTTGACCTTGAAATAACCTTAAAAAGTTCTGTCAAGGTCAACTTTAATTATTTTAATAGAATCATGTGTCTATTAAAATTATGTCATATAGTTTTATGCATAAATCTATTTCTCTAGTCATTCTGTAAAAAGAGATAAAATCATTGAAAAGTGAATAAATCCCGAGATAATTTTACATTTTATCCTGTCATTTTTCAATACAAAATATGAAATATCTCGTAAACTACTTACTTTTCGATCTCATTTTAATACTTTTGTACATGTAATGACCGGTAAAATCGATTATTGGGAAAAGAATTATACATAAACTTTAAATGAAGTTCCATGCATTGTATAGATTCATTGATATACCAGTGTGTCAAGATTAATATCGCCGATCAATTTCTCTCATCATTTGTGAAATTCATTTGTGAAATGAATATTTTACCGTTTATTCTAAGTCTTCAGTAATATATGTGAATTCATAATATATGAATTTAATAAAATATTCACTTTTCTATGATCTTATCTTAATACTTTAATGACTAATAGGATTAACTGCTTTGAGAAAAACTAAATGCACATAAGAATAAATAAATAAAAACGACCAAAGAAATCAATTTATATTTTAAAGAAATCATATGACTCTATAATATTTGAAAAGTTAAAGTTGACTTTGACTTTTTCTAAAAGCTATTCTAAGATCAAATAAATAATACTATATTTTCTCTTCAAAATCTTAGAACTATTATCCGAAAAACTGAACTTTTTTGTTTCTTCTCTAATTATTTCTAGCATATTTGGAGCATGGGACATTATATATAATACAAAAGATTACCTTTATAAAAATTTTGTTTTTGCGTCTGCAACTCGAAGCTATCATTTTCTGTGTTGTCACCTAAAATATAAGAAAAAAGAAAATATCTATATTAATACTTCATAACAAGTAAATATAGAATCTCTAATAAACTAATCTATAAAATCTCTAATAATCTAATCTATAAAATCTAATAATCTAGTAATCTAAATAAATTTTCATCAAAATGCAGATTTTAATCATTTAATTTTTATTTATCCTTTCAACAGACGCGCCTGTGTACTTTGTACACGCGCGGCGATTATGGAGGAGATACTTCCAATTTGAGGATCCTGGCTCCCCGAGCTATTCCTTCAGTCTTTGTTTGACTGTCGATACGCGAGGTTGTCATTTTGACCTAACTTGTACAGGTTTTACGGATATTTACAAATGTCGGTCTCAAATGTCCGTCGTGTGTACTAAATACACTGATGCGCTCGCATCGTGATAGCGACGAGATCAAAGTAAGTATATATTTTCTACATATAATTATTGATTTTATTATACAACGAAACAAAAGAAGCAGTTGATACAGTGGATAAATGTGCGCTGCATATTCTGTATCTAGAATAACTAACCAATGGCCTTTAGCTTTGTTTTTCATGATGCTGAATATAGCAGGGATAAACCCTCAGATATTTTATTTCGCGAAATATTACAATCGAGATCAGTATCGACGAAGAATTATTTTGACTGATCTAGCTTTTGGCCTGATGAAAGAACAACTTGCGTATAAAATAACATCGCTATCCATGAATATTCAAGTATTCCTACAGAAAAATGTCCCTGCTGAGGAGGAAGATCAATCACTTGATCGTCGAAAGCGAGGGAGATACAAGTTTTGCACAAATATGTATATCACCTTGACATGCCACAAATGCACTCGATTTGTTTGTAAAAAACATTCTATACTTTCTGTTATTTGTCAAGCTTATTAAAGTACTCAATCTGGATCAGATTCATAATCTTTTACATTCCATTTTTATACGATACATAGTAACAATTATTATTAAAATAAATAATTAATAAGCTTTCGAATATCATAAACTTTCATCGCATAATGTTTATTTTATGATAAAATCCCTTATCTTTCTAAATTTCCAATTTTATTTCACGGTGTATTTTGTACACGGGTACCTGCTCCCGTTATGAAAAAGGACACGCCCGCCGAAATATTAATATTTAAATACGTTTTTAATATATCTGTATAAGGCAGTTCAGTGTATATATTCGGCATAAATTTTAACAGGTTATATTATTGAAAAATTATATTATTGAAAAATATGAACTCGTTTACGAAAAACTAGTATAATAAAAAATATAAAGATATAAAAAAATAATATGAAACAAAAAGAATTTTTTTATATGTAATACATAAAATAGTATGATATGCGATCAAATTGATTTGTAAAATATTCCAAAAACTCTCTTTTTGATATAGTAATCAATAAATCAGCCACAAAATTAATGATTTAAAATCTTATATTAAAAAATAGACTGTCACGTTAATTTTACGGTTATTTATTAATTATGTAGCAAAAGGAAAGTTTTAGGGCTATTTTGTAAATTTACTCAATTAGATGAAAATGTTATTCTATCCACATATTGTTTTATCACAATATATTTTACAACAATCTTTTGTATCTATTTTCTTCTGACGTTATTAATCAAAATTGCTGTGGCTAAAAAACGTAGGAACCTTAATATAAAGATATTTAAATAAAAGAACATTTCAAATTTTGTTGTAACATACTTATAAAATGTTTTGAAAAATGTTTATTTTCTTTCGCAATCAATAAATTGCCGTAAAATTAAAATGACAAAATCTGAAATTAGATAAATTAAAGAAGCAAGTTACATTGTTATTGTAACCATACAGCATGCTTCAGAAATAGTTGGCCAAACTTTGTGAAAACGTAGAACGGATTGAAATGTGCAAGAAAGTCCCATACCGTTTTGCGATACTCCCAATAAATCTCAAGATATTAATTAAAAAAGATTGGTCACGTGCAATATGGTAGATGAGCTACAGTGGCGTCGTCTGCCGTTGTATACTTATACATTAACCCTTATTGTGCACATTTCAGTAGAATCACATAATGGGCATACTGAGGTCTTTCGTGACCTCAACTACAAAAATGTTTGCTGCAATAAAATTATTCGCTTCTTTGATTTGAAAAAATTCCAGGATATATTTCAAACATCTTTTTATATGACCGAATAATTTTTCTAGACAAAATTTGATTTTAAATAAAGAAAAAAATTTGAAAGTCCAAAAAACGTGAAAAATGACTTGATTTGCTCCAAAAATCATGACACAATTTTTAATATTTCAAGGTAAAATTTTAAGGAACTACTTTCAAGACATATCTCTTTAGAAAGAAATTAGTACAATAGCAGGACTTTCAAAAAAGGTATTTATTTTAAATATCAAAATTAAGATTTTTGTGAAAAAAGTAAACAGTTTTTCCAAAATATAGATTTATTTTATTATATTTTATTTATTTTTTTTATAGATTTACTTTATTTATTTTATTTATTTATTTTTTCTGGAGTTTATTTGATCCCACAATAAGGGTTAAGTCAAATTGAACATAAAAGTCCTCCATTTTACAAATGATTACATAGATTTTCAGATATTAATTAAAGAAAATTTGTACATTATGATACACAATCTTCTAATGGTAACAATTTTCTTTGATTAATATCTGAAAATCTATGTTGTCATTTGCAAAATGGTAGAGGACTTTTTTATTCAGTTTAACCTAATAAATATACAACGGCAGACGCCATTGCAGCTCATCTACTATATCGCGCGTGATCATTTACCAATTTTTTAAATTAATATCTTGAGATTTATTGCGAATATCGCAAAACGGTATGGTACTTTCTTGCTCATTTCAATCCGTTCTACGTTCTCGCAAAGTTTGGCTAACTATTTCTGAAGCACCCTATATACAGTTCCGCTTTTTTTTCCTTTGTAAGTTTTATGACCGTTGGTAATTTTAAATTATCGATTATTGTTATTTTCTAGTAACGAATTGTAATCCTTAATTTAAAAAAATGAATTGGATTGAGACTATTTAAATCAATAATCTACTCTAATACCCAGATAGAAATGCATGATCATGTTTCATATTTTTTTAAAGATCATTACATGATCTCATGACATGAGCAGCAGATACACACAAATGATGTACAAATTATGTTGCAAATTCTTGACATGATGTTGATTATTATTATTAAATGAGGTATTTTTGTGACATCATAACATGTTTGTATTCTGAGGTGCATATGAGTCCACATCGGTATCTATTCTTGTCCTCATGTCTTGAAGATACATGAATACAATATGAACTCAGAATAAACACATTTTCCTATCTGGGTATATTTAATGAAAAATTTTATGAAATATCCTACTCTTTGATAATATTTATGTATCTCATTCAACTGGAGAAAAGTTAAACCTGTTACTCGTTGATACATTCAACAACTCATTTGGTTATTGTTACTTTATAGAATAGACGATCGTTATTATGATCAAATTTGCTATATATGTTCTAGGAAATACCGCGAAAAGTTCGAACTTTTTAATTTCAATAAATTTTTGTGGACATGTAGAATAACTTAAGATATGAATAATTTGATTTCTATCATCCTTTAAAGATATGATTTTCAACTTCCAAGCCAAAAGGACGATTCCGTTTATAATTCCTAAATTACAAAAAAGGAGAAAAATACTTAGAATAAAATATTATATATTAAATATATATGTTTACAAATACAATATATGCTACAGATCAAAATGAGATATTCCACATTAAAAATTCATGAAGAATTCATAACATCGAGCATACATATCTACTACTGTAGTATCAACATAATGATTGTTCGGCTCACATGCGATTATAAATTCAGAAATGATAAAAAGGGCAATAGTATCATTGATGTATCGTATTCAAAAATATATTGAAATTGGATTCATCATTTTGAACACTTCTTTAAATAAATTTTAGTGTTGAACATAAATGTTTGACTTTCCTTTTTTACAAACATATAATTGTATATAATTACATGTAAATAAGATATATATAATTATTTATAATATATTAAAATTAAAATAAAAAACGCGATTTTTCAGAAAAAAATCAATTTCTCGAAAAATATTTGATATTAAATTTTGTAAAAGAAAATTTTGAAAAAGAATAATAAGCTCTAAGATTAAAACATCAAAAAATTAAGATAATCAGGTCATTAAGAGTCATTATACCAGATGATCATGTGTGTATAAATTTAATTAAATTAAACTTTCTATATCAGTTAGTCGAATAACAAAATGCTGAAAATTTTATCAGACATTCTACATATGCCGTAGTACAATATTTTTCAGTATTTTTTTGCAGGTTAGATTATTCTTTATTACTAAATTATTTCTTTACTATAAAATGTCTTTTTCCCATATATCAACTTTATTTTTCTTTACTTATTTTTCTTTATTTTTCTTTACTTTTGTTAATAAACTCTGGAAATGTTAACTCGCGTCCATAGCTAGAGTTAATACGTGAAGTTAATACGACTCGCGCTATTACCAAATTTAAGTTTTCCTCTAATAGATCAACAATAAATTAATATTCTTATACATCTTATCGTTTTTATGAAGCTGCGTTAATACAGTAATAATTAAATTTTCATTTAAATTTTATTAATAACAAACGTGGCATTAAATTTAATTAATAATATGCGTAGCATTTCGGTCATATAAAAGTATTAAAGTTTATCAACTACGAGGGAAATGAGAAGAGTTAATCAAATAATTTCGATATCTTTATGCATCAATGCACAAATAAGGCGAGAATATATAGCGTGACTAGATTAAAGTTTCCCTCTTCTTATGTACAGGTAAAACTCATATTGAAAAGAAAAATCATATACTTTCTGTAAACTATCACAATAATCGAAATATTAACGAAAGAAAATTGGTCAATCTATACACGCAATACTGTGGAACGAGCTCTGTAAACAACTGAAGAAACAGATTTTAGGTTATTAATAATTGTTATTTGAAACTTTTTTCACATAAGATACTCAGATTTAAATTCAGAATTAAATGAGAATTTTTTATTAAGTGGCAGTTACAGATATAAGTAAATATCATTTGGAAAAACGTGCATCTAACTCTAAATAAAAACCGAGTATCTCATGAGGTAAGTTTCAGATGACAACTATCGAGTTCTTAGACCTATTTTCTAATTTTATAATAACGATAAATATAAGCATTTAGTTGCAAGGTCACGCGTGTAACGCAAGATCACTCCGTTCGCTGCTCGAAATATTACATCGCCTTTTGGTGCTATCAAATTTTTACTATTGCTAATAACCAAGCTTAAGACGTGTCTTATCAAATTATTTTACAGAGTTCATCCTACCGCATTGCGCGCATTAACTAATTAACTAATTTTCTTTCGTTATAATTGACAGTTTACAAAATTATAAAAGATTTTTTTTTATACAGTTTAACAAGTTTTAATTTATAGACTTGTAGCGATTGGACACCTAAATCCAAATACTCTGTATAGGCTTCCAACGTAGAACTGTGCGTACATTCATGTAATTTACGGCATAATAACGAAATAACTTAACAATGTAATGTAAACAACATATACAAAAAATCTAATAGTATAATATTTTTTAAGGAAAAGATTTGATATTTCTATTTATATCACTTTGTAGTGTTTTGTATCTCTTAGTAGCTCTTTATAAGTCTTGTACCATTAAACTTTCATTCTAAATTTTTTTTTTCTATTTCTAGTAGTTTAAAAGTTGTACGTGAAAAAATAGAAGTATCCTTTTGGTTTTGAAGTTATTTGAAGATCATATCGTTAAAGATAGGGCATAAATGAAGCATAACGTTAATCATGTCTTAAGAATCATTCTACATATTTACAAAAATTTATTTAAATCGGAAAATTCGGATTCGTAGTATTTCTTTGTAAGTTTATTTTGTGAAGAAATTAATTAAATGTATCAAACAAGTATTACTTAAGATCAAAATTTTAACGTTTATTTAAGGCCAAAAATATGTTGTTTCAACTGTATCTTCGTCACATTACTAAATTTTAAGTTTTCTTGAGAGTATTAAGGTAATTAGTTCGTCATATACAAATCTGAAATTAAGTTTGTTCAACTCTGTTCAAATCGATTTGCTTTTTTTTCTAATAACTATGAACTCTACCTTTATTTAATACACTCTATTTTTATTATTTTAGTAAACAAGAATAAGAAAATATCTAGAATGTGATAATACAAATCAATCGAACATCTTTTAATAAGTACAACAGACAATACGTGAAAGTGCTGAAACTAATAATTTGTATTTTGCTAACTTTGAGTTAAAATATTTCTTAAACTAATAATTCTTTTTAAAATATTTTAAAAAAACCTTTTGAAGAACACGGATTATCTATTAAAAATGTCTTACATTTACATACTAATATATATATATATATATATATATATATATATATATATATATATATATATATATATATATATATAA